ATCAGTAAACCCCAAATAGCCATTAAAGAGGAAGGACAGGAGGAAGTAGGAGAACAGGCACAGGAGGAGGGAGAAGAACAGGAGCAGGTGGCACAGGAAAGTCCACCAGTTAGCCCTGTATTACCAAGACGTTCAACCCGAGTAACACGACCACCTGATAGGCTAGTGTTGTATGCCAAGTGAATACAGTTCCTAGTAATTATAGTGAATTTAAAATGTATCCTGCTAAGGATCAGGCTGCTTGGCAGAAAGCAATGGATAAGGAACTGGAATCATTAAAAAGACTGGAGGTATACGAAAACGTTAAGTTACCACCAGGTAAACATGCCATAGGATGTAAATGGATATATAAATGGAAGACAGGTGTAGATGGGACTGTTACCCATAAAGCCAGGTTAGCAGCACAAGGGTTCAATCAGACAGCAAATGACTACGATGATGTGTTTGCGCATAGTCTGAAGGCTACTACATTAAGGGCAGCATTAGTGTGGGCAGCTAAGGAGAAATACATCATAAATCATTTAGATGTAGAAACAGCATATCTGCATGCACCATTGCAACACACTATATATTTAAAGAAACCTTTAGGTATCAAAATAATATAACTGATTGCTGGAGATTGAAAAAGAGTCTTTATGGTTTGAAGCAATCAGGATATGAGTGGAACCAGTGTATAGTTAAGGAATTAACTAAGGTAGGTTTTGTAGCTGGCATGGCTGATCCATGTTTGTTTAAAAAGGAAAGTGATGGTGTAGTTTCATTGTTGCTATTGTTCACTGATGACATAGCATTCATCACCAAAACTGAACAAGAAGCTACTGAAATAATTTCAGTTAGAAAAGAAATTTAAAATAAAACAGGAGAAATTAAACAATATCTTGGTTTAAAGATAGATAGAACTAGGGGAGGATACAAGATCTCACAGGCAGACAAAATTAACCAATTACTAAAAAGTTTTAAAATGGAACTTTGTAAGCCGGCTAAAATACCAATGAGCCAGGAGTTTAGCAATAGTGATGTTCAAAGTCCTATTTTTGATAAGAACATTTATCACTTTGATTGGTAGTTTATTTTATCTCAGTAATTGGTCAAGGCCAGATATAGCATACAGTGTTAACCAATTAGTGAGATTTAACGCTGAGCCCACTGAACGGCACTGGCAAGGTGCTAAGCGTGTGTTAAGATATCTGAAACAATGCATTATGCATTGTATTTGGAGCCTAAAGATGAACTGAGTTTAACTGCATATGCTGGTGCAAGTTTTGCTACAGACATAAATACACGAAAATCTACATCAGGTACTGCTGTATTATTGGGAAATGTGTTGATTGGATGGAGATCTATTAGACAGAAACATCTAAGTTTGTCAATAATGGAGGCTGAATTCTCAAGTTTGTCTTTACTAAGTACAGATTTGGTTTTGTATAAACAACTACTAATTGACATGGGAATTGATGTAACAGATTCTATTGTAATTTATGAAGATAACCAATCAGCAATACAGATGGCTTCAAATATTGCTGTTAAGACAAGAACGAAACACACAGATTTAAGATATTTAAATGTGAGACAATGTGTGCAAGGTAAAATGATTAAGCGAGAATACTGTATGTCAGAAAACAATATAGCAGATCATTTTACGAAGGCCCAAGGCTCCATAAAGCATAAGGCTTGCTGTGAAGATTATGGACTTAGAATGTAAGGTTGTATATATTATCTTACCCCAAAAGGGAGAATGTTAGGAATATAAGTCACCTAACAGGTATTTGGGTTAGAAATATATAAACCAGGATAAACATTTTAATACTGTCTCTTTAACGGAATGCAAGAGCATGCAATTGGGTGTGGTTTCTCAAGCGGCCATAAGATGGAGCCAGAAACCTGGGTTGTTTAGTCTTAGTCTCAGAAGAGAGTGTGAGTGTATCTCTGTTTCCTTCTGTTGGAAAGTATTGCTGTTCCTCCATTTCTTCTAATTGAGTGATATTACTGGATTTGATGTAAGTCTGATACTGAACTGTTTTTGACACTGGGATTTGTTATTGGATTATCCCTGGATTGAAAAACTGACTGATTTACCTGTGAATGACTTTGGATTGCTTGTTTGGACTTTGCTTAACATTTCTGGAAGTAAAAACCTACATTTACTGTACAGTGTATCTGTGTGCTGTATGTGTATTATTCAAACACTACTCTCAAATACGTCTCCCTGTATGCGCTCATTCTCCTAACAGGGAATTACCTCAACAGACATGTTGCAATGGTCGAAAGTGTGAAAAATGGTCAGCAGTCACTTTTTTCAATGCCGTTGTAACTGAGCGGTCACAAAATAAATGGTTACAACTGAAGGACTGCCTGTGTTGGGGTTTTATCTTGCCAGGAGTCACCAAGCATGAGTTGGGGGGGTCATATACATTTTTGTTAAATTAAAAATAAATAAATAAACCATAAGACTTTTTACAATGCACAAGGCAGGGAGATCCTAAGCATCGTTTTGCTGTGGAGGTCGGATACCAATGGCCGGAGTTGAGTTCTGCAGGAATCATCTGCTACAAAGATCTGGGCTCCTGCCAGAATTAAAGGTCGACATTTTAGTTCATTTCTGGATTCAATAAAGCTGAACAAAGAAGGTGATAGATGTAATTTCAAGAGTATTAGTTAGCTCAGCTAAGCCAGGCTGTATTGTTTGAGATTAATATTGACACTGCCTTTGAGTTTTTAAAATGCTGCATTTTGCTGCTTTTGAAAACGGAGGAGCAGTCCTCTTGAACGAACAAAAAGAAAGGGAAAAATGTGAACTCGCTCACTTCAAGGAAAAAGGAAAAAGAAGATTCTGTTTTGAAAATACAAGTGTTGTACCCCGACCCCCACCCCCAAAATCCATTGCATAAGGGAAAACTTGGGCACTGTATTTTGAGGGAAAAGTTCTTTTGTGGCATGGATTTACATTGACCCAAGAAGCAAGGTGGCGAAATCGTAAAAGCCTAACCTCATTATATGATCTGGGAATAAACCTCTGATAATCTCTTTATTCATCTAATTCCCACCAGTGTGTGGCAGAAAGTTTCCCACTGTTCTAAAGTGGAAGATTTCTTCTAACTTGTACTTGCACTTCAGAGTAGGGTTCAGCTTCCTCCAAAGCTGAATGGAGGGGTATAAAAGCAATTCTCAAATAGTTTTAACTATAAGTTGTTACATATTTGTCACACTATGACTGTGAGTTCTTTTACGACTATATGTGTATCGTTAAGTAGGACAGCAGTTTCACAAGGGGAGTCCTTTGAGGAGGTACTTCCTTTACTATATTCATCTGTATTTTCAGAACTATGTCCAGCAATGTCCAAGATTTTAATTTTTTTATTTTTCTGTAATTCTCTGTCCACATGGTTCTTGCTAGCAAAGCTACCAACTCCCCCCTTCTTCTTTTCCGGGGGGGGGGGGAGGGAGACAGAGAGAGACAGAGAGAGACAGAGAAAGGAGGAAAACTGGCTGAGTCCAATGTGGGCATCAAGCCACCTTTTGCACTTGTTCCTCTGCTGGGATCTTGTGTGAAGCACCTCCTTACTGGGCTTCCCCAAATCTTCCAGTGTCCAATTGCAGGCTTCTCTCCATCCCTGTCTTGGATTTGGGGTGAAGTAGTCTTGGTCTTCACTACCCTCCTTCTCTCTTTTCTCTCCTTTATGGCTCAAACCATCAGCCTCCTCTAGCAACTAGGAGGTGGGTGTTTCCCCAGGGCTATAGTCCCCAATACCCAATGTACAAGGTTGAACTAATACTGTCTCTCTCTGACAGCCCTGGCTAGCAACTAAGTCAACCAATAATTTCCACTCCCACATCACCAATAAAGGAGAATATTTGTATGGTGCTCTTGGTGTTCTCTAAGCTTGCAGACGTCTCATTTCTCAAACTAGGTAGCATCATCAGTGCTAATAAGTAATGGCATTTGCTCTTAGTTTATATTCTAGTGGCTTTCCCAGTCAGTGTTGATCAAAGAACCTCTAAGACCATCCCCACCAACAGTGACAGGGCAAGTCACTAGAATATAAACTGAGAGCACAACCCATTTCTTACTAGCAATGATGATGTTACCTAATTTGGATACTCAAACATCTGCAAGAAAACAACCAAACTCAGAAAACACCAAGGACTCCCCATGTTGCTTTCTCTCCTTCTGCTGACCCACACAACCACACCAGCCTGGCCACAAAACCCATGTGCCACAATATTCAACAAGTAAAAGGGAGCACTGCATTCACAAATCACACGGAGGACTATCGCCAAAAGTGATCAGCACTGCATTTTAATACTATAAATAGGCCAGAGTTTGGAGGGAAGAAGACAACAGCAAATTGCATATGATTTACATACATGTACATATACATATTTGGATAAACACATACTTACATGAACATACATAAGTGTAGTAATATAAAGGCAGTAAGGACAAGAGAGAGTTCACAAAAATTATAAATAGGATTCACTGAGCCAAAGGATCTCAATACATTAAGGCCACAAAGAGAACAAGCCACTTGGAATTTCCTTTCTTCCAGGCAAAGGAATGGAAATCGACTTCTTTGCATCCCTCATGCACTTTCAAACTAGGCTAGAGAGGAAGTAGTGCTATTAAGGATGCATCCAGGTACCAGTTAAGAGGTATGTCAGAAGGATTGCATGGTAAGGAGGGAGGGAGGGAGGGAGAGAGAGAGATGTAGCTATTTCCTCTTCCTGTTTCAAGCACATGTGCAATGAGTTGAACTTTCCAGACTGATCAAGTCACTGGCTTCTCCCATCTTTCACAGTGCAATTTTAGGCCTTTTGAGACATTACAGTGCAATTTGTACAATAACCAAGAGGGACGTAGTGTACAAATCAAAGGTGTTTAGGCTCAAAATTTCAGTTAACCCAGAAAGTTGCTTTGAATCTCCCAGACAATAAAACAGGGAAAATCCAGATGTGCTTCTTGAAGGAAAGACAAGATCTGCCAATGAAGACATTTTTTTTTGCAAATCTCTACATATACCTGTGACTGATCCATAAGAATTAAACAGAGACTTTGTTGGATGGATCCAAAGCATCTGCCAAATCCAAGGATGGGCAACCTTTTTTAAAGCCTGAGAATTATGCTATAATGTCCTTCTGCCACTGGGGACCACAGGAAATTTGGCTAATGATGTTGTGACCTCACCAGAGTCTATGGCGGTGGTTTCTTTTTCATGATTTGGGGGAACTGGCAAGTTAAGGAGGAAAGCCACCCAACTGGCCTTTTAAAGCGCTCTCCAAAATAGGAACATTGGCTGGTTCCTAGGAGAAGCAGAGTTTCAAAGGATGCAAGGGGTACTTTAAACCTCTGCATTTGCCTCAAAAAAACCCAACAGCCAATTCCGCCCCCTCACAAATAAACCTTAAATTTTGTCTCTGCCAATGCTGCAAAAGTCCATCTCATCTCATCTCAGCAGTGTCCACAGATTGTGGGCGGGTGCGGGGGGGGGACGACACAAAATCTGCAAGATCCTTGCCATTTTGTATGTGAATGCACCAATCCATATGCAAAAGGTTTGGGTTGTGATAAATCTGCCATTGTGCAATTTTTGACCCACACCGCCTCCATCCTTGCTTTCCAAAGTCTCTAACCGAAAAAGCCAAGAAGCAAAAACGGCAAGCGGGCAGTGCCTAACTCTTGTTTCAATCAGGTCCGGCTAAGAAGGCAGCCTTGCCCAATAGACAAAAGTGAAATGAGCATTTCACATAAAGTAGGAGTGAGTCTGATCCCATCTTTCTCTAATTAGAGTGGTTATAAAACTTTCTTTAATATGTTTTCCATTCAGAAGGCAATTATTGAGATCAGTTCCAGTAAGCGGCTTTTCATGACATTCCAGTTACACAGGAGGGAAAAAGGGAACTTGACCTACTTTGGACACCACACAAAATGTGTTTGTAGAAACCAGGGTTGCTGTGCTCACAACTCCCACGTGGATCTTTCTCAAGCTCTCATCTGCTGAGGACTTTATGGTGAAGGAAGAAAATGACCAAATCCAGAATTATTTATTTCAGAAACCTTTGCTGGCCAATATTGTGTTTAAGACTGTGATGGAGCTTAGGAGCAAAAAGTGAGTGGGGTTATATCATGGAAGAGTAGAGAGGTGGGGAGGGGCTGTTACAGCAATATGCCTATCATAGAGCTGGTATAGCAGTATTCATGTATCCTGTGTCAAATTGCAGGAGACTTTGCCTTTATGTTTAGCCATCATAGCCAGGGAGCTCTAAGAGTCATAAACAGAAATCAGGTGCCTGCAACTGTAGGTTGCCCATCCTGGGTTTAGAAAGAAGCCTAAAACTGAAATGTGGAAATGAAATAATGCCCACTTCCTTAGAAGGCAACATTTGTTAGAAAGGCATCATTGGTTGGAGTTTCTGAATGGTATAAATATGCTTAAAAATCTGCATATCCTGCCATGGATCCAACAGTAACCCGTTTAAGAATTGCATGTTGAATTCTGCTCCAAGACAATTTGAGTTAATGCAGCAAAGAAATAAATGCAAAGGGATCCTGAACAAAACATCTGGAAATAAGGAGCTCTGTGCCATGCACACCTCCTTCTCTCCTACTACGCCTGAGCAAATTATATTATGCAAGTTGTCTCAACAACATGGAATTCTGGATGTTGATTTGGTAAGCCTGAATTTGGCTGAGCATTTTGGCATTTTCATGGGCAGAACTGAGATGGGCAGATCCTTCAAAGATCTTCACACAAACAACCAGAACCCACTGGAGCTGCGCAGACTCTCTGCTTCATGATCTAAATGTCTGGTTTACCCTTCCGATTATGGGAACTTGCCAAGAGCCACAGGACAAGAGGTAGCAGTTGCTAATTCTGCCAAAGAAACAGAGTCTATAATATTATCCAGTATCCAGGAGGGGATCAGGAAGGTTTTTCCAGAGATCCTTGTGTTTTTCCTCCACATAGTTTTAGCTTACAAAATCACTTCTGAACAGGATACGGTAAAAAGGCAAATAGAAAAATTGAAGACAAATAAGGAATTGGCTGCTAAAAACAGCCTCCCAATATCCTTTATTCCATCTTTGTCTGAAAACTGATTCTGTTCAAAATGTTCCTGTCAAGACCTGTTTTAACAAAGATGCAGAATCTCAGGCTGGAGGTGGTCTGAAATTGGAACCAAGTTATTGTAAACAATGTAGGGCTGACATCCAAGAAGTAACTTAAATCATTTTTACTTGAATGCAAGTCCTGAAAATAGTCCAGTATAGAATATATACCATGTGGTAATATCCACAGTATAGTCACAACCTACACTGAACAGAAATCATGTGGTAAAAAAAAGTTACTATAGTTTACTAAAAGAGAACATCCAAATCAGTTTCATATAAGGGAAAAATACAATGCTCCAATCCTATCAAAGTGTAATAAATCCTGGATTCCTGAGGGCAGCCCCACCCTCCTCCATGATAATGTTTTCCAAATGAGTTGAAACTACAACTCCCAGAATTCCTAACATGCTTGGAGATGTAGACCCAGTTTATGCAGGAGGGCTGAGTTTGTCCATAGTTCTGCTCCCATCAGAACGGAAAGAAAGGAATTCCATTTTGTATCTTGTCCCATCAGTGAAACAAATGCCAGGCAAATTATGACTTACGTTTTCTCTTCAATGCCAGAGTTTTTGCCATATCTTTTTTGTTTAAACAACTCTTGTCCAGCAAAACCAGTTGCTATCCAGTTCCCTGCATTATGATGAAATTAACACAAGTATCTCAAGATTTCAGACCCTGGGTCTTTCAGAACTTAAATTATAAAAAGTTATATTACTCTTATAACTATTATACCGTATATAACTATTATATCAGTAATGAACACAACAATTCAACCACTCCAAAACAAGGGTTCTAGATTTTCCTTCCCTCTCTAAGAAGGCCCATAATTTCCATTTCATCAATGGAAATTGCTAGAAGAAATTTGACTTCTACTTTCCTGCGATTGGAGAGACATCTGAGCAAAGGCAATGGAAACTCATCCACGAGGAAAATGGGGCCAATTTCATTCGTAAGAAGTAAAAGAAATTACAAAAGTGAAGAATTGGGCTAGCTGCAACTGAAATACAAAATAGGGAGTGGTGGTACAAGTTGGTCTGAAACAAGGAACAGGAATGAATGAAAATGAATGAATGAATGACCCCCTAATCATGTGGGAAGGAAGTAACGCCCTCTCTTTAACATCTAGACTATGAAAAAGCCGCTAATTCCTTTGTCCATCTTTCTTGACCTTTGAAAAAGGATGGAGAAATTTGCTGGACATTAGGGCAAAGAGTTTCTCTGTCTCAGTGAGGATATGTCCTTCAAGCACTTCAGATGACTTGGACAAAAACAACCTGATTAAGCCCACACAAAAACACATAGCCACTGCATGACATTTGCCTTAAGACAGTCAGGTAACATAGATTGAGAAAATATTTCTAGGACCTTTATGCTCCAATGACACAAGGAACCATATGAGCAAAGAAACTACATGATGGAACTTACCACCAATACAGTAAAACTTCAGAAATGTTAAAGTGACTGTTACTTTTTCAAAAAGAGAAGGAGCAACACAAACAGCAAAAGATTCAACATCAATGCTAGAGAAGACAGTCCAGGAAGGAAAATTGATGGCACATTTTTAGCTACGGATGAGTGCTAAAAATTCTTCACGTGTCTTTGGGTCTTCTCGGAATACTCCAAGCATGGTGCTGGTTACAGTCTTACTGTTCATTTTCTGAACCCCTCGCATCACCATACACATGTGCCTACAGAAGGAAAAGACAGGGGAAAAAATCCAATAGAAATATTTTTACTGAAAGAAAATAGCCTGTCTCTTTCTGCTGCAAAAAAACAGCAGAAGCAGGATAGAAAACTTTAGCTGCGCAATTGAAATCAAATTCCATCTTGATTTCAGTATAATAGCTTGCCAATTATTTTTTAAAAATCAAGCCCTCAAATATTTTCACTCTCATGTACGCTTTTATTGATGATTAAGCCATGGTATTCACTGAGGTAACCTGCAATACTGCATTATAACCACTGTGCCACTATGGCTCATAGATGATATTGATCAGTGTTGGCGAACCTTTTCAGCACTGAGCGCCAAAATGGGAGAGTGCGCGCAGGGGAACGTCAAAAACCGGAGCAGCAGTTCCCTAGCACACGCAGGGGGGGAGTGCCGGAAACTGGAACAGCAGCTCCCCAGCATGCAGAGGGGGGAGAGCACCAGAAACCGGAACAGCAGCTCCCTGGCGCACATGTATGCGCCAGGAAGCTGAGCTTTTGGTTTCCAGCACGTGCATGTGTGCCAGCTAGCTGGTCTTTAACCACACCTGCATACCAGAAACAGGAAGACCAGGTGGCCAGCACAGACCAGCTGGCTGGGGCACATGCACACCCTGGAACCCAGAAGAGCAACGGGCGACGGCTGGCATGCCTGGAGAGATGACTCTGTGTGCCACTTCCGGCATGCATGCCATAGGTTCACCATCACAGAGAGAGAGAGAAGGAGAGAGAGAGAAATAGGATAGATAGATGATAAGAGATTATATGTAGTTCTTATAAATACATGCCAATTGCCAAGTTTCAAAATTTTGATCACATGACTGGGGAAATGCCGCAACAGTTGCGTGAAAACCAGTCATAAGTCACCTTTTTCAGTGCCATTGTTACTTCGACCAGTCACTAAACAAATGGTTGTGAGTTGAGGACCATCTGTATAGAAATTGAACAGTGAAAACTCTCTCTCTCTCTCTCTCTCTCTCTCCATTTCCCAGTTGAATTCCCTCACTCTTTGGACACATTACAAATTTTGTGTCAACTTACGTTGCCTCAATCACCACCCCAACTCCAGCGGGCTGCAAGGCTTCCGTGATGGCAACAGCAATTTGTTTTGTGAGGCGCTCCTGAACTGCAATGAAGAGGGGAAGAAGAAAAATGAATATCCTGTTCAGGAGAGAATTTCTTAAAGCCTCAACTCATTAAAGATTAAAAATTGTAAGTTTTAATCATATTTTCATGGCCCACAAAGTCTACGGATTAAGGAAGTGCCGGAAGTCTCCTTAATGGAAAGAAGTCTGTCAGAGTCCAGACAAGAAGCAAATCTTCCCCACTTTTAAAAGCAGATGCTGACCTCTGTAAATGGAAAACCACAGCCCAGGTGGTCCTCAACTTACGACTGCAACTGGGACAGGATTTGCAATCATACACCAGTTATGGCATGGTTGAGGCACCTACACACAAGATTCAATTTTAGTCATTAAGTCGTTAAGCGAATCACCATGGTTGTTAAGTGAATCCATAGCCATAAGTGCAAACCCATTCTTCCAAGTAGGCATTTTTTGTTGGAAACCAACAAAAAAAGTCACAAGTTGTTGTCATGTGACCACTGAAAGTAGTTATAAAGGCGAACCGGTTGCCAAGCAGCCGAATTGTGGTCACGTGATTGGGTGGCACATCTTACAACAGCCAGAAAGTGCTTTACAGGCCATAAAACATCTGTTCCAGGTCTGTCATAATGTCAAACAGTTGTTAAGCGATCGGTCGTAAGTTAAAGATTACCTACATCTGAAGACAGGGCCCCCTGAAAGCAAAGCAGAAAAAGATCCCGGAGGATGCAGAGCCACCTTGTGATGAGAGGTTGGGCAGGAGATTTCTTATTGGCTTACGTTCAGGCCTCTTCATCAATGTTTACTCTGCTTGTATGATTATACATTATGAAATGCAGGGGAACATATTCCCTCAACACTGTTCAACTATTTACAAAGTGTACACTACTATTACTGTTAATCTTCTCACCACTCCTTATCACCCATCCCCTCCCACTTGACTGTTTCCTAGTATGATTTGATTGTTGATTGTACCCTATGACTATCATTAAATGTTGTACGTTATGATTCTTGATTCTTAACTAATGCACTTTTTCTTTATGTATATTGAGAGTATTTACACCAAGACAAATTCCTTGTGTGTCCAATCACACTTGGCCAATAAAGTATTCTATTCTATTCTATTTATTGGCTGGCCATGTTATCAATACATATTTCTGTAGATAATGTATATTTACAAATCCTTCCAAGTAGAAAGTTAGCTTATCTAGAAGCTAGGGTAGAATGCTTCTCACTGATGAACATGCCATGGTACTTATTATCATTGTTATTGTTTGCTGTCCAAAGTAAATTCCTGAGATGGGTGGCTGAATGAATGAATGAATGAATGAATGAACGAGCTCCATGACTATGGAACTTCCTGTGTAGTGGGATATACCAGTAATAAATTGTTCACAGTACATTCATGCCTTCTTTTCTTAATAGTCACAGCTGATTAATAGCCCTTTGATATTGCACAGCAAATTCTATTAGAATGTAAAACATACATTTCATTAGGTGAAGCACAAAAGATTGTTACTTGCCTTGTAATCGTCTACTGTATATTTCCACAATCCTAGAAAGAGAAAAAAACCCAATGCATTCCATTAAGATTACTCCAGAAAAACAATCATGATAAGTCTAGGACAGTACTTCCCAAACATTTACTCAAAACCACACATAGGAAAACCTTAGTGAACTTTGAGGACCAGTCATTAGTCCCTTCCTTCAGCACTGTTAGAACTTCGATTGGATACTGTACAAATGGTTGTAACTAGAGGACTCTCTAGTTTATAAAAACAATATCACTGAGTGATCTTTATGTCATTTCAGCAAATTACTATTGGTAATTTCATCGTCTTAATAGGAATATCTGGGAAGTTTTTTAAAATATGTTTTAGTACCCACAGCAATCTTTAAATCAATTTAAATGTCCCTCTTGTGATGGGGATAGATTTGTGTATCATTACCCAAAGGAGAAAAAAAAACACATTTACTCAATTTTGGGTAATTTACCAAAATTATGAGTTGAAATGTACTTCTTAAGATGGAAATCTCTGAAAGACCACTCCAATCACCAATTCAGCCTCTTTGATCTGCCAGAATCCAGCCTGCATTTGCCTGTTGGCAACTAGGCTTTTGCACAGAGAGTTCCTGGGGTGATCCAAAAAAACCAGGAGGATATGAAAATAAACAATCCTTTTTACTGTTACAGTTTAAATCAGGGGTCCCCAAACTTGGCAACTTTAAGACTTGTGGACTTCAACTCCAGCCAGCTGGAGAATTCTGGGAGTTGAAGTCCACAAGTCTTAAAGTTGCCAAGTTTGGAGACTTTTGGTTTAAACAAATGGGATGGGCAAGATGCTGTTGTTTTATGCTAATTTTCACTTTTTTTTTCAAGACCTGCAAACTATACCACTGTTGTCGTTAGAAATTTTAGCACAAGGGATCTAGTAATAAAGTATCCTGAGATAGAATGACAGAACTTGCCATACAGCTCTCAACATGGGATGTGATGCTCCCAGACATAAGCTCTTCTAAGTCCTGATTCTTGTAATAGAAGAATTAAGGTCATGCTTCAGGCCGCCTGTGAAATACAGTAGATGCAATTGGCTTTCTTGATCCGGGAGATTATGTTTGGCCAACAGCCATAATAAGAAGTGCTCCTTAGTGAGTTGGCCAAGTTTGCTTCTGGAACAATCTCTTCTAGCTTACTTGCCAATCTAGTAAAACAAGGCTTTCAAAAAACAGTTCTTAACAACTGGGTTTGGGGAGAAAACTGCTTTGCTCTAGGTTTCCACCAACTGGTTGCCAGCAGGCTTCAGTTGCTTGATGGTAGAAACTTCCCAGAATAATTCTGTCCTGTTTTCTACAGCCCTTTAGATCAGGGGTCCCCAACCACCGGTCCGCGGACCGGTACCGGTCCGCGGAACAAGTCTTACCGGACCGCTGGTTGCTGGGCGCCGCCATCTTTTTTTGATAAAAAAGTGCTTCCGGTGAGCTTTTCCGAGTAGAAAGCTCACCGGAAGCACTTTTTCATCAAAAAAAGATGGCGGCGCCCAGTTGATGCCAGTACCGGGCCACGGCGCCCAGCTGATGCTGGTACCGGGCTGCGGCATAAAAAAGGTTGGGTATCACTGCTTTAGATGTTAGGAAGATACCCTATTATGGATATCATGGCTCCCTACAGTCTTCCCTTCTCTGAGCTAAATATACCCAATGCTTCCAAATATTCCCATAAGCTTTTCTTATAAGCTTTTCTTATCCTCTTCGCTGCTGTTCTCTGGACACATTCATTTATCAATATCCTTTCTAAAATACAGCGTCCAGAACTGAATACAATAGTCTAGACTAGAGTCAGACTTACCAATACTGAATAAAGGTAATAACTTCATCTTGACATTATACAGTACTTGTGTTGACACAACCTAGTGTTGCTTCTGTTTCTTTTGCAGCTGTGTCTTACTATTAGCTCCAAAGTTACTTTCACGTGTATGTCAGCTCAATAAAGTCTCTATCACCTTATTTTATGCCCTGCACTACTGAAGCACTTTTGTTCCTGTTGAAATACTCCGGGACCTCAATGTGCGCTTTCTTCACACACAGTGTTACTTTCTGATCTATTCCTATTCTATAACTTACACTCTTCCACCTCTTGTATTTCATTCTTGAGTTTCATCTCCCCAAGAAAAAGCACATTCTTCCAAAAAGCTACTGATGCATAAACATTAATAACAGTTAGTGAAATACGAAAAGTGACAAAATCTGGGTGGCCATCTGTCCAACTTTATACAAGACAGTTCTCAATTCCAAGAGTGTTCAGTCCAAATTATATTAACAAAAGTTAACAAAATTGCCTATCAATGGGTCACAACCCCTGGACTGCAGGCTGAGCACAAGGTGCAAGATTTTTCCAGCACTGTTTTTCTCAGTTTGGTAAGATATATTGCTAATAAGATCAAAGCAATGGCTTCTAAATGCAAATTGTACTCAGATCTTAACTTCTTGGTTTAGAGATAAAGTTTCTACTTTTTTGGCAACAGAATATATACAAATTTTCTCTATATGCAAATGCCTAGCCTCCTCCAACTGATACAAGATAAGAAGCGGCTCCTCACAGAGATTCAATTTCCTTTATCATTAACTTGAGCAATGTATTGATTGGTAAACAGGGGAAGAAAACAAGGCTTGCCGTGATTCGCAGACAGAAAGAAAATCATCAGATGGGAATGACAAATCAACATTAAAGTCCTTAGTCTGCTGCTACAATTTAGAGATAATTGGGGCGGCCACCCTAGCAATACTAATCCATTGATTTGTCCTGCCAATGCCATCCAAAACAGAAGGCTGATAACAGATTTCAAATAAATTCCCCCAGATAAAAAACAAATTAAGATGGATGAGGCACCATGTAATATTTTCAACATTTACTAACGCAGGCAGATAAAAGACGCCAATTATTACACAAGCAGCCCTTGTGTAAGTCAATAGATGTGAGGCAAGCAAATCACAAATGTCACAATGCCAGAAGGTTTCCATTGATGTGAGAAGAAGCAGTTCTCCAACAGATCACATGATCAAAATTCAAAATTTACAATGGCTGCAACATTCTGGGGTCACATGATCGCCACTTCCAACCTTCCCAGGGGCTACCAACAAGCAAAGTCAATGGGGGTAAGCTGGATTTATTTAACAACTGTATGATTTGCTTAAAAACAGTGGCAAAAAAGGGATTGTAAAATCAGATGCAAGTCACTTAAAACCTTATTGCTTAATGATGGAGATTCCGTTCCCAATTGTCGACATAAGATAAGAATTATCTACAGGCAACTTGGTTGGATTAACCAATATGGTCCAAGATAATCTTAACAATAGGGTGATAAATGTAGCTCCTTCTTTCTATATTATATAACCATAGTGTGATCTAAGAACCCCTATTCATGTTTTTTGGGGGGGATTCCCAACAGTTGATACCATTCTACCAAGGAAGATACAGATGGACAATGACTATAGTCTTCTTTGCTTGGAAAGAATTTCCAAAACAGATTCCAAAAGCAACTGATAGAGGGGGGAAAAATCAGAGGGGAATTTCTTTTCCTGATAACATGTTTGTCTACACATATCCCTTTTCTCCATATGCAATTGCATATGCCTCTAAAATGTTTCACAAATTTGTAAACTGCCCAGAGTCACTCTGAATCAGGCAGCATATAAATTTAATAATTATTAATTATTATGATTGCTGTTGTCATTGCTGTACAACTGCACTTTAGTTTGCTGGAAGCTTTAAAAACCACCAAACATTAGTCCTTCAGAGCGGGGTACTTAGTTCGTTTCACATGCTTTAGTGAGCTCTACAGTTTCACTCTGCGGATGGGACATCCCTGATTAAAAATGAAATTGGTGTCACGCAAATTGGATAAGAGAAATAAATCAATATAAATAAACCTGCATCGTTCTTATAAAGGCTCGGTAGAATGTGCTGCCCATTTTCCCACTCCTAGTATCACCTTTACTCTTTTCATTCCCATTTCCTCAATCAAAGAGCAAGTCGTGGGGGAGAGGAAACTATCCAGGTTTAGCAGGCTGGTGCCCACTAAGAGCCCGTCTTGTTCCCTGGGTGCCCTCCTCCTTCTGCTAGTCTGTGCAAGAGGAGAAGGCAAAGTTCAGGATGGAAACATGCTGCTGACCTACATGAACTGCAAAGTACATATATATCCAACGCACTTTCAGTCTATTTCACAATTACCACCCCAGTGACAAGAGTGCATACAACATCCTAAACCAGGGGTGTCAAACTCAATTTCATTGAGGGCAGCATCAGGGTTATGTTTGACCTTGGGGGGGCGGGGATGTGTGTGGCCAGGGTGGGTGTGGCCAGCTTGACGTCACTCATGTTGGTGGCGCCTGTGGTGGCCCAACCGCTCTGTAGTTATGGGAATAAAATAGGTCTTGTAGTTAAGTACATTAGGGAAGTTAATTTCCAGTAAAATGGCCATTCTTCCAATTAAAATGTAGTTTTGCCTCCAAGCTACATGATATTTATGAGACAGATAAATACTTCCAAAAAACTGAATCATAACTGCTTATGCTTGTATAGTTCTTGATCCCTGCAGGATACCATGAAGCATATAAGGTCAAATTTAACTGAGACAATTAAAACAGAAGGTCATAGTAGAGAAAAAACAGATTTTGTCAGACTACACTGTGAATGGAGGATTTAATATTTCAAAAAAATGCCTTCCCCGCTTATCATCTGATGCTAAGAAACATGATCTTGAATTCTTCTGTAAGAATTATTTTTAACTCCCATCTTAAATCTGACCACCTACTTTTATAAACAACCCGTCTAAACAGAGAAGCTAAAATCATCTCTGAAATGCCCAAGAATTTCTGTAATTCAGTGTTAACAACATTGGACTAGGGAGTATGAATTGGCATAAAGTAGTTTCTTATTTTTATAAACTGATAATCAATCATGGAGAATGTTTTTGATTAGAATTCTTCCTGCTTGAGTTAATCATGACATATTTAGCAAGGAGGTGAAGAAGGTGTGGTTAGCTTAGCTCCATATTAGATATCTGGACCAATATACTTGGACGGTGGGGTCCTTAGTGTTCTCTGAGCTTGGTGGCTTCCTTGCAGACATCTCATTACCAAACTAGATAAGCTGGAGCTGCTTACCACAGACAAAGTTAAACATCAGATCTTGGATTGACAGGTTAAAGCTCTATGTCTACCATTTCCAAGGCATTAAACAAGTCACTCTCCCAAGGATTTTCATAAAGCAAGGCTCTGGTACACCTCATATGTGAACCCGCTCTGATATGAAATCATTGTAAGTGGACCAAAATCACTCAGATGATTTTTATGTGTAAGGCAGAAGTAGATCACCATTGGCTTGAAAACACATCAATATCACATAGCATATTGGGGGCATATTGCAAAATTAAATGGAACCAAGACCCAAAGGAGTTTAAGAATAAAATTATTCTTATTTACTACTTCTCTACCCAAGGCTTCTTATTCAACTAGGCCCATGATGGCGAACCTATGGCACACATGCCACAAGAGGCACACAGAGCCATTTCTGCCAGCATGCAAGCTGCAGGCAAACTTACCTCACTGCGCATGCATGCGCCTGACAACTGATTTTTGGTGGGTTTGAGGCCTCCCAGAGGCTTGAGGAAGGCTTCTGCAGGCTTTTGCAGGCCGAAAACTAGCCCCGTTTTGTCACTTCCTGCTTTTCTGAAAATACCAGAAGTGATGAAACGGGGCTACTTTTCGGCCTGCAGAAGCCTTCCTCAAGCCTCTGGGAGGCCGAAAAAGGTTTCAAACCCGCCGAAAATGAGCTGTGAGGCGTAGTGCAGGTAAGGGGGTGGTGGTGGGTCGGGATTGCGCACGCAAGCATAGGGGGCGGGGGGGGGCATGCATTGCCTTCTGGGTGCTGGCATGCGAGTACGAGCATGCAAGCAACACGCGCAATTTTTGGCACAGGAGCTCAAAAAGGTTAGCCACCACTGAACTAGGCACTAACCAAATATTTTCTGCCTAGGGGACCAGTCCTCTTCCCCTAAAGCTTCTATCTGTGGTGAGGGGATTCTTCCTCTCCAGGGTAAAACAGCAATGGATCCACCTATTATCAATCTTGGGAATCAAACATGAGGCTTGGGCTTTCCCATGTGAGGCCCTGAAAAGATACTGGCCCTCAATTCATAATTCTAATAGAGCTGAAATCTAAAATCCCCACAATTATAGCTCTTCACTTCCCCAGAACCCAATTTGATTTGTTTTTTTAACATCTCTATCAATCATCTTCAGCAACACCAACTCCCCTCACTCTCTTTTACATTATGACCCTTCCCCCTCTCTTCTAGTATGACTAGCTTACTGGAACCTAAAGAACAACTGAATTAAATAGCTCAACATTTTGCATATAGTTGAATCTGGGAATCATTTCCTTTACTTTATCTCTACCTCTGTCTCTATATCTTTATCTCCTTCAAGTCAGTTTAGACCAAGGGTCTTCAAACTTGGCAAGTTTAAGACTTGTGGACTTCAACTCCCAGAGTTCCTGAGCTAACATGACTGGAGGAGGAATTCTGGGAGTTGAAGTCCACAAGTCTTAAAACTGTCAAGTTTGAAGACCCCTGGTTTAGACTCCTGGTGACTATATGAGCAAACCATGCTCTTTTCTCGGCAACATTGTTGGAAGTGAGTTGCTGTTGCCATTACCTTTACCTTAGGGTTAAAAAAAAAAACTGTACCAAAATCACCCAGCTAGCTGTGTGCCTAAGGCAGAATTAGAACTCACCACCTCCCGTTCTCTAGCCCAGGGAGAACCACCGGTCCGTGGAACAAGTCCTACCGGGCCGCTGGTTTGCTGGGCGCCGCCATCTTTTTTTGATGAAAAAGTGCTTCCGGTGAGCTTTTCCGGGTAGAAAGCTCACCGGAAGCACTTTTTCATCAAAAAAAGATGGCAGCGCCCAGCTAATGCCGGTACCGGGCCACGCCATAAAAAAGGTTGGGGATACCGGGCCGCGGCATAAGAAAGGTTGGGGATCACTGCTCTAGCCCAGTGCTTTCATACTAGTTTTACTTTGGTTACCTGCAGTTAAATAAGTCACATTACTTTAAGTATTTGTTTTTCTTACCTTGCAAGCTTGCTGAGCCCAAGGACTTGTTTGTTGGGAAGATAACCTATATGCACCTAGGCAGAAGGAGAACAAGTCATTAAACAAAGTTCAGGACTTATTGACCTGGGAGATTCATGCATGTGCACCCATGCCATGTCATACATGACCCAGAAAGTAGCTTTTTAAAAACTGGTGAGTGAGTGGAGCAAACATGCATGCAGTCGCGTAAGTTTTAAAAGGTCAAGGATAAAGAAAAATCCAACATGCTTGTGAACTCACTTCCCACTTTTTTCCTTTCTTTCCTGTAAAGAATAGAAGATGCAATCAGAAATATTTCACAGTTTAGTATTTATTAAGCTTATTGAAAAAGCCAAGAGTGACTACGTAAGTCCTAAAAATAGCAATGCAAGTATGGAAATATTTCCTAGCTTGAGATCAATTTGAAAATCTGCTAAATCAAAAATAAGCGGGATACAGTACTATACATTTCCTATCACATGACTAAATGTGGCGCGTCTGAGCTGGTAGCCCAGGGAAAAAATGCTTTCTTTAGTAGTTCATTATATTTATGGACTTTTTAGCAAATCTGATAAAGACAAGGATGCAAAGATGGGAAATGCAGAAGGCAAACAATCTCAGAAACAATAAATGAAGCAAAGAGATCACTGAAGGGAGAAGTGGGTAGCTTCTGACCTTATAGCTACCTGCAACCTTTGGCCTCTGTTTAGTCTTCTAACAAAAACAATCTGTTCCACTGCTCAGCAACCAAGGAAAAAAGATGACTTAAGTAAGAGAGAAAGAAGAAGAGTATGCCAAAACGAGGAAAATGGGTGGCCTTATTCATTTTTGGCTGTGGCCCTAATTCTATTGCTTTTGCCCTATCTGCTATATGATGTTACCCTTTGATCCTGAAACCCTGGATAACAAATGACGCTCATCAGTGGCTTAGGGCAGTGATCCCCAACCTTTTTTATGGCGCAGCCCGGTACCGGCATTAGCTGGGCGCCGCCATCTTTTTTTGATGAAAAAGTGCTTCCGGTGAGCTTTCTACCCGGAAAAGCTCACCGGAAGCACTTTTTCATCAAAAAAAAGATGGTGGCGCCCAGCAAGCCAGTGGCCCGGTAGGACTTGTTCCACGGACCGGTAACGGTCCGCGGACCGGTGGTTGGGGACCCCTGGCTTAGGGGCAAGGCTAATGATTCCTCCCATCTGTTGTGGTTAGCACAACACACCTGAAGGCAGCAGGTGCAGGTGGCTGAGGAGAGCGATGACTCTGATGAGGGGCCAGGACCATCGGGGAGTGGACTGCTGCCTTCAGAGATTGTGGGGGCTGGAAGCAGTGACAAGGAGATTCCCGAGGAGCCTGTGCCAAGTGCAGCATGAAGGATTACTCGGAGGAAAGAACAGTTACAGCAGCACAGGCGACTCGGAGTAAGGATGCAAGGTAATGGCCCCTCCCTCAAGAGGATAAAAGCCAGGTTTGGAAAAGCGTTTTTTACAGACAGCAAAGAGGCTCTTAAACTCAACTGGTGGACATCTTAATTCGTGTTTGGAGAATTTTGTAAATTAGTTATTATCTCTGGGTTTTTGGGAGCCTTGACAAACAACTTGGCAAGGCTCTTTCTTGTTGGAGCTAATTAGTGGAAAGCAGCCATCAGAACAGAATTCGTTATTAAACCTTAAAAGGTGGAGGCTGCTGCCTTTGTCTGTGTTTGCTCTTTGGGAACCCGGTTGGGTCAGAACACCATCTGGCTACAAAGGATTTCAGAGATAACCAGAGGTGCTATTCAGCTGGTTTGCACTTACTTGGGCGAACCGGTAGCAAGAATTTGGCGTGGGTCGCTGAACCGGTAGCAACATCTAGCTGACCACGCCCCCAACCCGGTCGCCCAGTTTCCACTCACTCGCTTGCCCCGCCCACCCGATGCTCGCTGCCCCAGTTTAAAGGAGGACTGCTCCCCCACCCTAGCCACGCATTTTCAAGCAACCACTTGAAAACACATGACTGTGGGAGGAGCAGCAGTCCGTTAACCTGCAAAACTGTTCCAAGGCTGGATTCTTCATGGACACTAGAAGTATTGCTTCCCCTTGTGAGTAAAGTGCCTGGAGCGAGAGGGAAAGAACGCTGGGGGAGGGGGGGGAAATCCAGCCATGGGGAAGTTTGCAGGAGCTTCAAATGCAAGTCCGTTTACCTGCAGAACTTCTCTAATGCTGGATTCACTTCCCCTTGTGAGTAAGGTGCCTGGAGTGAGAGGGAATGAAGGCTGACAGGGGGGTGTGTGTGAGAAAGAGAGAGAGAGAGAGAGAGAAAGGAAGGGAGAAAAAGACAGAAAGAGACAAAGAAAGAGAAAGAAAAAGAAATAGGAAGGGAGAGAGAGATAGAGAAAACTCTGTGCTATTATTTTTAATTGTTCCATTATTTATCATGTGTTAATATTTTACACTGTCCCTACACCTAGAGTGATATGTGTCTTTAAGGAAGTATGATATTTAATTGAAAAGAAGTGTTAAAGATGTTGAGATTTTAATGATTATTAATGATAGAACTGAATTGGAATGGAATGAGGGTTTATAATTACATATATTTATAATCTTTTTTTTCCAAGAATATAGTGTGTATTATAAGAATGTACCAAGCAGAATTCGATTGGAAGTTATGTATTATGTATTATATTGAAGGCCATAACCTTAAGGTATATATTGAAGTTTAAATAAGAGTTGAATGGATGTAATTAAAAGATATAAAGGTCTCATACTCCAATTAGTAACTACAGGAGAAAGCTTGTTTAATGAGAAAAGATAATATGAAATTGAAACAGAACAGACAAAAGTATAAATATAATGATTTGAATTGAGATGAGATAATCAAAATAAAATTGAGAAAATTAAAAGAGGGGAAAAACTATATAGAAAATGTAGAATAGTATAAGATATGGAATAGAACACAAAAAGGAGCATGAAATTGAGCTTTGTGTCTGTATAAAGAAGTTCAACCCGGGACCATGCTATTTTCAAAAAATATGTTTTACTTGTATTTTGTATGTGTGAAAACCCAAATAAAACTTTATTTAAAAAAAAAAATCACTGTCTAGCACACCATAGAAGTCATTAGTTGTTTAGCAAAAAAAAAAAAAAAAAAAGGACAAATTGGGAGAGAACAGTATACACTAAAGATCTTATGAAATACAATGCACAGAGAAAGGGCAACATCAGTTCAAGTCAGTGACAAATATCCTGAGGTCTTGAACTATATTGCGCTTTCAAAAGTCCCTTTGCAACCAGCCTTCAAAGTTTTCTAACTCTTAACTTTTGAGCTTGACTCCTGGTACCTAGAAATCAAATTACCCTAGTAATTTCCCTTCCACAGATTAACCAGTTCCAGCCCTGTTTAGCTTCTAAACTAAACTTTGCCGGAGCTACTCCTTGTTGAAATCCTTTCTGATTATAATTATAAAGAAATGAAACATGGTTTCCTGGCATAAGGTTGGAAGTCCACCAAAACTATAGAGGAAACTGTAAAATAAACCAAGCATAATTTTTAAAATAAAACTCTCCTCCAAAAAGCCTGATCCATCACTGTTCCACCCAAGGTGACCTTTGACCATTTAACAACTAGCTTCTCCTGGTTTAAAGCTCCATACTTTTTAATCAGTATTTTTAGCAATAAGTGGAGAAGCGACTCTGAGTCAATTCGATCAGACAGTATCAGCATTCAGAATTCCGTCTAGCTAGGCTACATGGATATGAAAATGTTCCCTTTGAAAGGAATGGAGAGGGGAAATGAAGAAAATAAAGGTAAGTCGAAAAATTGTTCTTACTGTGCTGAATAGGCCAAGGGCATTTTCAAATGGGTCTCTTGTGACCCAGAAGAAGTCAAAGCTTATGTCTGTGATGATCAAATTTAATACAGAGATCTCTGCCCACAAGGCATGCCGTCAGGGGTATTACATGAAGGGCATTGAAATGAAATGTCAGAAACTATTAGGAGAGAAATACTGGCTCGTGCAGGGTGATCGAAGCAAGAAGGAAACTGACAGGGCTCTTGCTAAAGAAGGTGAACATTGTGCTTGGAGGGTTTGTTGTTGAGGTAAGATAGCCTTGACCCCAGCATGTCCTACTCATTCACTAAAAACCTATAGAGTCCAACAAGCAAGTTGGAGTCTGATTTCAATCCACTTTGTTTCTCTTTTATCAACTTTCTGACATTTCAGGTCTTTATAAACCTGAAACTTTTTTAAACCTGAATTAAATTAAAATGAACTTATCAGTATATCCAAAATGTATAGAAGCAATACATTTATTGGTATTTCTTCTTTTCAGGAAATTTTAGGACAGCCCCTAGCCCAGTATAACAGAACATAACACAAAAAATGACATAACATAACAATAACATGACATCTTATATAACATAATATATAACATAACATAGCACATAACATTATTCTGGACAGATAAGATTCAGTTTGCATGTTTGAAAGGACTCCCTTCTAATAATGTACTCTACATTATATATAATGTATAACATTATATATAATGTACTATAAACTTCAGTCTGACATCAATTACATTTTTCGTTCCCCCTTCTTTTTTTCCTAGTCAGCTTCTCTGACAAAGATTATATGAAATTCAAAAGCTTGCATTCCACAACATTTCCTATACGTACCAATCTAATACTTTTAGTCATAAACCACATTATGCAAATTACAGAAAAAAGATTAAGAAGTTCTTAAGAAAAAGAAGCTAAAAGAGGGAAGGAAATCTAAATTTATATCAGCATCATTAACTACTTCTCTAGTCTCATACTTCCAGACTCACAAAACATTCTTGTTTCCATCACACTCCATATCCGCATTCATATACGGTAATCCTGGTTTAGCGACCACTTTGAAGTTATGCCAGTGCTGAACAAGAAGACTTATAACTGCTCCTTGTAGTTGTGGCTGTTGTAACACCCCTGCGTTCATGTTCTCGTGATTCAGGCACTCGCAATTATGATGGTCCCAAGTCATATGATTGTCTTTTGTGACCTTCGCTGCAGGCTTATGACAAGCAAAATCAACAGGGAAGACAACGAAAGGTACAAATTGTGATCATGTAAACTCTGGAAACTGCGATTGCCTGGGATCCACCCAATACCCAAACTGACCCAAAGCACAACTGCAGTTGTAAGTCAGTATGGTCACATGACATTACGCTTAACAACCTTGTCACTTAGTGTGGAGTTGCTGGTCCTAATTACTAATTACTATTGTTAAGCAAGGACTATCAATATTTCCTTTTGTTCTTTAAATTTCTCACTTTGCTCTTATTCAGGTTTCCATCAGTTCCTTCCTACTATGGTCTTTTCTTTCCTCTCAGTAAATTCACTTTTTTATATAAAAATGTGATCAAATTTTGTGATCAAATTCATTCAATATATTTTTGTATTTGTCACTACTTTTGTATTCAATCCATTCATTGAATATTCATTCAGGACCCATTCATTTATGGCACTATCTCTTCTTGTTTTGTTACACAATACACCTCTTAACTAAGGCACTCCCACATCACTGAACTTACTTTTCAAGGATTGCTGGCCAGTGTTGCTGGTGACTGATCACAAAGATTTTTGCCTGTCCTGAATAGGTTTGCACTCCCCTAAAAGACCAGGCACATAACTGGGCTGCTGGTCAACCCTACTTTCCCTCTGAGTGCTCAAGTAAGAGTGGTGGTGAGGGGCGTTTAATTTACCAGCTTTGCCCCTGCTTCGATAGGCCTCTATAATCCAAGCTCTTGGATTATAGTTGACATTATTGTAAAGCACTTTTGTGTGAAGTATGCTTCTGAAGGACATTGGAAGTTACAGTGAGGCCAGAAAACAGTGCCATCTTAAGTATCAAGATGGATGGGAAGAATAAGCAAATAGCAATAGATGCATAATGATTCCATGGAAATACTGCAAATTATCTAATCAATAGAAGAGACTATCTGTAGCTCATATTTGAACTGTTAGGGGCCTTGGTCCTCTCTGAGATTGGTTGTTTTCATGCAGATGCTTTATTACCATACTAGGTAATCAGTGTTAGTAGGAAGTGGGAGTTTGTTCCCATTTTATTTACTACAGCAACTACTAGTACATAAAATAAGAGCAAATCACACTTGCTACTAGCACTGACGATGTTATTTAGTTTGATAATGAAACGTCTGCAAAAAAAACAGCCAGAGAGTACCAAGGACCTAATTTACATAATCAAACAAACAAACAAACAAACAAACAAATAAAGGACACAAACATATAAGGTCAGCATTTGCACAATGGCATCACTGAACACATTTCAGCAGCAGCATGCCTTGCCTGCTGGCCTGGCTTCTATGGAGTGTCTTCCCAGGAAGAAAATAAAATCATCCTGGCTCCGTTTCAAAATACTTCTTGTAACGTTTCTGATGTCACTAACTGGGAGTTGTACTCTTCAACTAAGGGTGAGCTGGAATCATCTAGGACCATCTGAGTTGTACCAGATCCAATGCCAATGAATTATCTCCCCATTGATCAGTCTTTCATAATCTCTGATGGTTTTGAAATACAACCTGAAAACTTACTTTCATAAGCTGGTATTTCCTTGCTTAAGCACACATTACATCATCTACTAAAAGCTGCTTTAGTATCATGATGTAAAGTTTTGTTGTAACATTTATTTTGCGACATGATTCACATGTTTGCTTATTTTAACTAAAAGTATAATAGGCAAATTAAAATGGTAAATGATTATGGGCTGGCTTTGCTAGGAACATGTATGCCAAAATTTGAAAAATAAAAAAATCCACCCATCCATTTTAAGTTCTTCCAGCCATAAGCAGTTCTCATTCCCATTTCAATCAGCTCAATAAAAGTATCGTTCCATCAGTTTGGAATTATTTTTTATGGCCAACGTACATTTCTTTATTAAGAAATTAAACATGATTGAAATTGTCATTATTTTAGTGCCACAACACAATGTGATTCTTCCAGCTTCAATTCTACTTTATTTTTACTTGTTGAAAGAACACAAGAAACCCAGCATTGCTAACTCTTCCCACTTCCACTGAATAGGCAGGCAGGCAGGCAGTTAAATGCGAAGTTGAATGAGAAGTGCAGGTATTGAGATAAGATGAGTGTAGCTATTAGCACTGAGTAATGATCTATAAAATGACTGTTCCAGAGGAGCAAACAAAGTGACATCAATTTTTTTAACTAATTAATTCAGCCTTTGTTCCCAACAGCTGTGCCACCCCCTTCTTTGAGTCACAGGATACAATCAAAATGACCAAAATACAGAACACTCAATCTGCACTTATTACACAAAAACCCAGACACAATAAATGGACATATCCATTACATATCCTTTCAAGGTTGTAAGCGGACTCTCTATTTATTAAATTGGGTAGTATTTATGCTTAAAACATTTTGCTGCCTGAATGGAGTAGTAAATAATCCTTTGACGTCATCTCAGTCAGGGTACAGAGCTTTGATAACTGATTAGGGTATTTGGAGAGATGATGCACGAAATGCCGTGAACACCTGCTCCTTTACCAAATAAAGATATTTCATATAAGTATAAATGAAACATTTAAAAATTGAATAGCAACAAATAAATTATGGACTGGGTTGCCTATTCATGACTCCCCAAAAGCTGCAAGTTTGAAACACCACCGTGTGATGTTGTTGAGCTCCTTTTGCTCATCTTGCATTTTATACCTTGTTTGATGGCCCTAACATCTGGCTTGGTTGCTCTATGCAATATGTATTTCCTTTAATAACATTTTTTATGATTTGCAAAAGTTGTCTGACATAGTTTTGCAAATAGAATAGAACAGAATTCTTTATTGGCCAAGTGTGATTGGACACACAAGGAATTTGTCTTGGTGCATATGCTCTCAGTGTACATAAAATAAAAGATACATTCGTCAAGAATCATAAGGTACAACACTTAATGATAGTCATAGGGTACAATAAGCAATCAATCATACTATGAAACAGTCAATAAAAATTGTTACGATACAAGCAACAAGGTTACAGTCATACAGTCATAAGTGGGAGGAGATGGGTGAAAGGAAGGATGGGAGGATTAATAGTAATAGTAATGCAATCAGGTATTTAACAATGATTGGCCTATTGATTCTACTTTATAGTGGAGAAAAATAAATTAAAGATTTACCTTTCCAATAAATGGAACCAGGTGATGTTCACACATTGAAAACATATCAATATCCTTCACAATCACCATCTCATCATGGTCTTCATCAAATATGGCATCATTGAGTACATCTGAAATCAAGACAGGCATATATAATGCAACTATTACTTGTCACTTTCCTTCTACATTGTTTTGTTTTGAATGTGTAGGCTATACCACTATCCAAAAATAAATTTCAAAGAGGTGTACATTAAACATGAGAAACGAACAAAATTAAAACATAAAGTGTAAAATTCATTATCTAGATTACAATGTGACATTACTGAGAACCAATCAGGGCAATTTTGAAGTGTTGCTTAGACATTCTTACCCCCAACAACTGTTTAAAGCTGCTTTGAAGCTCTTTCATTCACAATGACACTTGAGCAACAGTGACACAATATCCTGGGCCGTTTAAATGTTCTTCCATTGTTTTCTTATTGTTTTTAAAAAAACTAATACCGGTGATGCAAGATGTTTTGTTCTTTTACACATAGAAATTCTAGACATTGTCTTATCTGTAAATTTAACTATGTTTCCTCCATTTCCATTTCCTTTGACCAGCTTCTTTAAAATACTACCACCTCCAAACTGTGATGGGACATACACAAGTATACACAGTTTTACAGCCTTGCTTAAATTTGTAAACCTTTTTGAATATTCAACATTTTTGCATAAATACGGTCACAAATAAGTAGCTCTGGATCATTTTCCTCAATAAATAAATGAACAAGTGTTATGTTATTGACTTATTGGCTTACTCTCTTTATCCAGTTTCAAGACGCCACAAAAGTCTGTATGTATACAGAAACACTGAAAATTAAAAAGGCACAAATATTTAAGAAATACTGAATGCATCTAATAGGATAAATTTGCCATTTTATATTTATATTTGTTTTTAAGAGCAAAACTTTATGATGATACATATCCTATGCATAGTAATTCTGTAACATAAATCTTTTTCCAACTGGCACAGGATTTACTCTTTACTCTACAGAATTTGCAGCTTTTGTTCCCAAATTCAAAAATGTCTAGACTTAATTTATAGTAGCCAAACTGGTCAAACCACGTGCAAAGAAAACCACAGTTAATCATAATTTAAAGTTAAGTTATAATGACAGAATTAATTTGGTCCAAACTAATAACTTAATGGCTTAGTAAATCCAGATTTAAGATATGGATCATCAAGTTTGGAACTCAACTTTGCAAGGATCTTGTTGACTATAACGTAAAGATATCTCTGTATCCATTCTCCTCTATTTAAAATTTGAACAATCATAGCCTATCTCACAAGTTTATTATGGAAATTGATACAACAGCAATCTGGAAACCTAGTTAATATGACAGTCATAACATAAAATATTTCTTTTTCCCCCAAACATTTTTATTAGGTTATTAAATATTATAAAATACAAAACACAAAAGTAAATAAAAGAACAATGAGGAGGGAAGGGAAAGGGGGAAGAGAAGTGAGGAAAGATAAGGAAAAGAAAAGAAAAAGAAGCATTGACTTTTGATTCTATTGCAGTAAAATAAGGCATTAGCATCAAATCCTAGCTTTTTGTTTTTCTAAAATAATATGAACAAGTCATTTCTATAAAAATCTATCAATCTAATCTATAAAACCCAAAGTCAAAATTACCGGTACATTCTTTTCCACATCAAGCACAAATTCAGAAGCAGTTTCCATGTGGAAACAAAAGTACTTATTTTCTTTTCTTAATCAGAGTAGTTTTGCCATTTCAGCCAACTCCATCAACTTCTGCAACCATTCTTCTGTGGTAGGTATCACATTTTGATATCACTTTTGCTTTCCATTTTGGGGCATACAATAGTCATAAAACATAAAATATTTCCTGTGTTATATTGCCAGTTTATTCATCCAAAGCAGTTGGGATGAAAACGAAAAGGGAATAGAAGGGAAGGCTATAAATAAAAGTGTAATTTAATCTCATGTTACATTTTTCCCCACACTTCTAAATATTTTTAAGAATTGATCTGAATAAAGACAAGGGATTTGATGCCATGAAAAGTTTCCTTCTCATCTTCAGACCAAAAAGCTAATATAAACAAAATCAACATCCATGCCAGCCACTTTTCCTTTTCTAGTTTTTGCTGAGATATATCCCTTCCAGTTATGAACACAGACACATATACCAATGAACTGCCCTTTAGGCCAGGCGAGATATGCTATCAGGGGTGGTTTTAATTTCCTGTGTGCTGCCAGACAGACGCAGGTATCTCTGACAACCAGAGTTTAGAGGCACACTACTGTTTTGTTACGTACTGTCCATCATTGACAGGGTCTTAAGGAAGCCAGGCATGTAAACAGGGGATGAGGGCGTGGGGGGAGAGGAAAGATAAAATATTGTTCTAACAAAAAGGCTCAAAAGAGCAGCTGTGACTCAGTTAGCTTTTCAGCACTTCCCTTCCCATAAGTCATATGCCTACACCCAAATCTCTTGTGTATTAACAAGTTATCCTCCTAAATTCAGCCCAGGCAACAGAATGTGAGGCAACCATTAATCTCAGGAGAGATGCCATTCAAGTCATGGGTTGCATGCAACCCAGCAATAATCTGGTTTCTTGGGATAAAAAAATCTAGTTCAGGATATGCATCTATTATTCCAATTACACGTGCATGGAGGAATTATCTGGATTAGCTCACCCAACCAACCAAGCAGCTCTACTAATTTTTATATTTGCTTCCCAGAATAATGCAATCTGTATTCATCTATTTATTCCCACTGCAATGTCATATTGCTAGGTTGTTTGTAAATGCCTTTTTCAACTATGAAGAAAGGACAATGTTGTCCATGCAATGGATACATTAGGCATGCCATAGGCTTTGTTTCAAGAATGAGGCTGCTATGGAAAAGCTTCATAGGTTCTAGATAGTAACACATTTTGCCCCTAAATAGTAAGTACCCCCTTAAATCAGGTTTGACTCCTAATTGATTACATCCAGGCAATTTTCTTGTCTATGTTGGCTGGATGATTATGGAAATTGGTGTTCACCACATATGCAGCATCTGGTAGGGGGAAGGCTGATATATAGGATCACAGATGCTACAATTATATAACACTTTCCAGATCATTAATCCCACTGAATTCAATTAGCTTTACACTTCTGAGTAGAAGTCAAGAGAACCAGTTCCACTAACCATTGCTATGAGTCTCTATATCAAATTTTAAAAGGAGCTGACATTCATCTACTATATATTGTAAAAAAAAAAGCCAGTAAAAATATTTCAAATAGCAATAGCACTTAGACTTATATACCACTTCATAGTGGTTTTTACAGCTCTCTCTAAGCAGTTTACAGAGTCAGCATATTGCCCCCAACAATCTGGGTTCTCATTTTACTGACCTCAGAAGGATGGAAGGCTGAGTCAACTTTGAGCCTGGTGAGATTTGAACTGCCAAACTTCAGCTAGCAGTCAGCTGAAGTAGCCTGCAGTACTGCACTCTAACCACTGAGCCACCTCAGCTCTTCATCCAGAATATTTGATCTGTTGATCTAAATGTCAGCATTCGCCACTTCAAAAAATGTGTAGTATCCTGGCTGTGTGGCATAGGTAGTTAAGATATTCATGATGAGCTTGTTCTAAGGCAGGGGTGTCAAACCCATGGTGTCACGGTGGCGTCACATGATGTATCATGACTTTTTTCCCCTTTGCTAAACTGTGTGGGCATGGCCAGTGCGTGATGCATCTAGCCCGCGGGCCACGAGTTTGACAGCCCTATTCTAAGGAGATCCATATCAACTTCCTACTTACTTGCAAACTTCTCTAGGTAACTTTGAGCTAGTCATTCTCTCTCCAGCCTACCTCATGTAGTAGTTTTTGTGAGGATTAACTGAGAGAAAACATAAAAATATAGCACTGCTGGCCAGGACAAGACCAGTCCAACAATTTATTTTTCACAATGGCCATGCAGATGCCTCTGGTGTGCTGAAGGAGGAGACTGTGACATATCTTTGTCCCATTATTCTGTCCCCAACCTCAAAATAACATTGAATCAAAGGGTTAAAACTCTAGATGAATCAGTCTTCCATTAATTTATCCACCCGCATTTCAAAGCCCTCCAAACTAGCAACCATCTCCACATCTTTTGGTAATAAATTCCATAGTAATGATGAGTTAGTTTGGTCTCCTTTAGAGAGCCTCAAAGAGCCCCTGGTCATTTGATTTAAGGAAGGAAGAAAAATTTCTCTCCATTGTCATTTTCCAAACTAAAGAGGCACACTACTGATATTCCCCCCCTTTTTTACAAGGTGTTTCAATCATTCAATCCTTTGAGGTTTGAATCCTCTTCTTCATTTGTTCTATATTTTTTTCAAACCTGGTGAACAGAATTGTACATAGCACTCCAAATGCACCTTCTCAAACTTACAAAAGGGCATTACAGTGTTGGCATTTTTATTTTCAATTCATTTCCTAATAATCCTCAACACAAAAAATCTCTTTCACAGCTATTGTACACTACATCACCACCTTCCTAGTATTGTGAACAGAAATTCCTAGTTTACTGCTTATCCCTAAATCCAGAACATGTATGAACAATTTAAAAAGCACTGGTCCAAATACACAGCTTTCAGCCAATTCACTTCATATTTCCCATAAAATTGCCCATTTATGCATTGCTTTCTATTTTAATTACATTGCAATCCATACAAATTCATATACTCCCTCATCCCACAACTATTATATTTACTCAAGATCCTTGAGGAAGAACTAAATGAACACAAAATCCAAGTCTATATAATCAATGAGATCTTCTCTATCCAGGTGACAGCTGACACTCTAAAAAAAATAGGAAGTTGGCAGGGCAGGATTTATTTTGCAGAATTAAGCTGACTTTCCTGCGGCAAGATTTGTATCTCTACATGATTACTTAATTTTCTTTTACCATTTCTACCAATATGATCTGAACAGATGTTGGTCTAGGAAGATGACCATTTTGTATATTGTTGCTACTATCATTAAAGAAAATTGGGCTCATCTTACATAAATTTAAGATTGACCAAATTATCACAGATTCAGTATTTTCTTTTAATTGCTACATTTATCATTTATTTTACAATCCAAAT